ATAAAAGCACTGATGAGAAGATGATGAGACTAATCAGGAAAAGGGCCTTTGAGGACATATTATCCAAGGGACTCCCAAACCTGGAACCACTGGCAATTAAACTGTGTGCTAAAAAGACTACCTTAAAAGAAAACACCTCATACTTTCCTTTTAAGAAAGTTGTACTGGCGTCTATGGTTAATGATTGTTCTGGACGTTAGCAGAGAAGGTCTGCCAGGCTAGAAATCATGAGATGCTAAACTGCAGGGCCAAGAGAGCTGTTGTCCAAACAAAATAATAAATAAGATAAAATAATAGCTGCAATGATTTTTTGCCTTACTTCCTGTTTGGTTCCCCCACCCCCGTGCTGCCACTCTCAGGCATACTCAGCAACAATACTATAAAACCTTCAAAGTTCTCCACGTTTTTATGAATGTTATTATGTACTGTGTTGTGAAAATAAAGAGAACATGATGTGATTACATCTGTCTTGGTACTGCAGTGCCAGGGTGGAGGTCACCATTCTGAGTAGACACTTTGCAAGCTGTGAATAATGTAAGGTGGTTGGTGGCAAAAATGTGTAGTAAAAACACCCTGGAATGATGTGAGCTTGTTTGGACATAAAAATTAGTATTGCTTTAGAGATGGGACAGAGGAACCATAGAATCACAGAATTGTAGATCTGGAAGGGACCCCAAGAGCCATCAAGTCCAAACCACCCCCACCCCTGCAATGCAGGAATCTCAGCTAAAGCATCCATGACAGATGGCCATCCAACATCTGTTTAAAAACCTCCGAGGAAGGAGAGTCCACCACCTCCCAAGGGAACCTGTGACTCCCACCCTCCCGATGTTCCTGGACCTCAAATCCCAACATCTCTGACCATTGGCTATGGTGACTGGGGCTTTTGGGAGTTGGGAGTCCAACAACATCTGGTGAGCCACAGGTCAGCAACCTCTGAATTAGATTAACAGAACTATGGGTTCTTGGGATAAACACCACATTACACAATGTCCCAATGTGTAGTAGTATTGGGAAGAGGTGTTTTCGCATGGAGAAGTAGTGATTTGGAGCGAATGCTTAACCCTTCTCCTGCCTAATATTATTCTGCTGAAACTAGGGATGTGAGAGAAACTTGATAGCTGGTTTTAAACATGAACCTACCAAATCAGTACTTCCCAAAACAAGATGCAAACCGAACACAGACATCCTTCAAAATTCACAATTTTTCTCCAAATTTTGCAGTGAAGTTCTCAAGCCAAGTAACGTGCACAAAAACCACACATGTTCATGAAAAAAACATACCAAAACGCATTATATTAGGAAAAGTTATTTTTTTAAAAAAGTGTATTAGGCAAAAGCGCACACAAAAACGTGCATATTGCAAGAAATTTTCAGTAAAATGCTTGTGCATGTTCATGAGGGGGAGGTGGGGAATCACAAACAGATGTGGAAATATGAAGAACTGAACCTAAGACTGGAAGCATGAGAAACTGTTAAACCCAAGCGGACAGATCCACCCACCCCCTGGCCAAGCTGCTTTCCACCCTGTAGGATCCCAACATGTAACTGGAATCCTAAAACACTCACACCAGGTGCAATGAGAACAAAATACCGTATTTTTCCGTGTATAAGATTAGGGTTTTCCCCCTTAAAAATAATATCAAAAATGTGGGGGTGTCTTAAACACGGAGGCCATCTCCCCCCATTTTCTTAAATCGGAGTCCCCCAAAATAGCGGGCGTCTTATACATGGGGGCGTAAATACGGTAACTGGGGAAAGGATTGTGCACCACTTCACCCTGTCAGTTTTCCACACAACACGCCCTCCCCCCCCTTCCAAAAGCTGCTTTTCTCAATGAAACATTCCATTGGAGCTTTGTGACACCTGTTTGGGTGTAATGTGTACTTTGACCCTCACTTTCCAAAGCAAAGCTGGGCCAAAGGGACACATAACTGGTGGCTTTCTCTGGCATTTCCCCCACATTTCCTTGCTCTTTCCCACAGTGAAATCACAACATGATGTTGGTCTGTTGCCATGGAAGCAGATTCTTGTCAGAGAGCCACTGCAATAAGATTGGGAAGTATTCTGTTGGGAGTAGGGTAAGGATGGGAGAGTAACAATTATAGGGGAGGCTGCTGGTGGTGGGAGCAAGGAAAGGGGGAGGGCAAAACCTGCAGATTTGCTATTGGGGTACAAAAGGTACAGAAGGTTTCATTCAAAGGAAGCAGAAACTTTCCCAGCACTCTGGTTTTTTGTTTATAACACTTGTGGATGGGAGGATTGTCAAATCCACAAAGCGCTTAAGGCTTCCTTCCTTTCATTTGTATGAAGAGCAGAGCTACGCTGGAATCCTAGCTTCTCAGTGGCTGCCTGCACATTGATGCCAGAAGCAACTTACCAAGTGACACGGAGTCACTTCGCAAGTCTTGCTCATGAGGGCTATGTGGTCCATCAGCCTGGTTTAGGCAAGCTGCCCCTTCTTCCCACACTGTGGTTTAGTAAATGATTTGCCGCTTTGGTTGTAAACAGCCAAAGAAATGCATTGAAAAGCACTGCTTTTTGGGGGACATTTTATTCCCTCTCACCCCTGTTTCACAGAACCCATTCACGCATGTGCTGTAAAGAGTTTGCAGACCCTAGTTTTTCACCATTCTCATAACCCCGTTCTTGCACACACAGAAAACCCGATCGGGTTCACACATTACCACTCACGACATGTCGAGGAGTTGAAAAGCAGGAGGCTTTTGCACTTCATATATTTATGTCATGTCTTATTGGCCACGGACGCCTGTCTCTCGTTCATACTACTGTTGGGGATCTCATGAATCAGGCTATCTGGTTGGCCGTTAATGTAAAACAGCCTTTGCTGAAATAAGGAGCAGAATAAGGCATAAAACAGAGAGGATGGGCATATTTTTCTAAGTGCTCTCTGTGAATTTCCCTCACTGATAGATGAATGATAAGAACAGGGGAAGAGGGGCGGGGGACAGAGTCTTGCTTTCCATAGGGGGATGAAGTTGCTGGTGGTAGCAGGGAGATAGTGTTTAGCGTGCAGTAAATTTCTCATATTTCTAAGTCATTTGAGTGCACGTTTGCCAAGACTTTAAGATGTATGGAACCATACATCAAGTCCCGTGTAAAACTGGTGCCATTATTCTCTCATTTTTCACCGGAGCTTGTAAGCAGGTCTCATATATCTTTAGCTCCCGCTGCAGCGCAGGTTTCTTCTGCCTGTTCTCCTGCACCTTCCTGCCAATTAGATTCCAGCAGGGACATGATTTATGTAAACACTTCATCAAAGTAATCACCCCAGGAACCGGAGAAAATGGCAAGCCAGTGTCAAGCATGGGACACACATCAAAAGATGCAAAATCCACATTTCCCCCCCAGTACGATTTAGCACTAGGGGAACAGATCCATCCTAGCTTTGCATCAAAGCCACTTTTTACTTTAGTTCATGTCATTTTATTTTTCTCGGAAATGAAACCAAGGACACTCTTTTAGGTCACGGGAAATGTCACCAGCTTGTTTGGAGCATCAGTTCTGACAGTTCTGGGTTGTGTTGCTTTGTGTGCGTTTTCCCAGATCTTCTGTCTGATGAGATCGCTACCTTTCTGGAAATGTTTTGCCTGTCACCAAGTGGAAGGTACTAAAAAGCCCTCAAAGAAGGTTTCAAGGTGCATATTTGTGCAGTGAAATTTACACACACACACAAATGTGCACTGACTTTTTGAAACGGGGCATGCGGAATGATAAATAACTCCCTCCAGTTCTTTGAGGCCTTTTCCAAAACTGACGCCTGGTTCCACCACAATGTTTGCAGTGACTTTCAGAGTGTTTCTCTTTGTTCTGTTTTTATATCCATGGGTTGCATGTAGTTTTAGTGTGTTTTTGCTTTAACTGTTGTTACTTCCAGTAGTGGAAATGGAAGTGAGACAGTCTAAAACTACACATGTGGATGTATGGAGCAGAGCTGTAATAAGGCAACCTTTTCGTTCCACTCTGTGTTTGTCGCACGCAGCACTGGTTGCATTCTGCTGAAGTTTGCCTTCCACCAAAATTACACTATTCATCTTGCTGTCCTTTGTGGTGAATTTACATAACTTAGAGGTGCTTGATTTTGCCAGGAGCTGGCAGGCCACTTGGAGTGGCTTGGCAGGCTGCATCCAGCCAGTGGGCCATGGGTTCAGCATCCCTGTGTATTGCTAGACCAGATATGGCCGGTAGGCGGCGCTTCCTGGTTTCAATGCAGCTTTATTATATATAACTTATAATGAGCAGTTATAATGAGCCAGATGCAGCCATAAAGATGTCAATATAATCCAAGTTATATACATATATCTGTCAGTATGATTAACACCTTGCATCTGTCAAAATAATTAAGACTTAGTGGGCACATCTATCTTGGCCCAGCCATGGAACTGTAATGGACAGTGTTTGGTGTTTGTGTTTGATTTAGAAGCAGGAGAGAGTGCTTGCTTGGGATACTGAATACTCAGGTTAGGAGGAGGAGGATTTCAAGGGAGCATGGGATGACTGTTGAGAGGTGCAAATTTTGTGAGTTGATAGCTGGAAGAAGGGCAGTAGATAATAACTGAATAATGTTCCTGAAGTTCAGTAAATAGTGAAGTTCCAGGAATGTGTTTAGGATATTAGTGCTTTTAATCCCATTCAGCCCTGACTTTGGTTTACTGTGGATTTGTATTCATTATTCTTCAGATAAATCCTCTGTCTGTTGATAACCCTGGGTACTTATCCATGAATCCATAAAGTCATCTCTACACTTCCACTTGCACCTCCACTGTGCTGTTAGCACGGGAAGGCAGTGATTGCCCCCACTATTTATACATTGTCCAGATAAACACATTTATTCCCATCCCTGCCCATCTGCTCCACCATTCCTCTATCCCTGACTGTCTTTTTTGTTTATATTTTTTAAAAAAACACCAAAACCTACTTAAAGCACTTAGTTTCCCCATATAAATATTCCATAGCAGTCAGTTGTTTTATGACACAACCTTTAATTTTAAACAAATGATTACATGCATACACCTATGCAGATGTGGAAACAATGTGAAGCACATCCTTTAGATTCGTAAATATAGAAGCAGTAGCCTTCTAATAAACTTCATGGAAATCAATGCACACTTCATGTTCTGCTTTCATGTTTCTATGAAAATTGTAAAACAATGCTTCTGAGCCATTGGTGTGCCATAGCCCAACTGCATCCTAGACATGTTTACTCAGATGTCCAATGAGTCCCACTTCCTAGCTTTCCCATTTAGAATTCTTCCCCATCCCTAAGTGTACTTATTATAGATTAGGTGTACTTCTTGCAAGTCAAAACAAACCATCTAGCCAAATGTTTGCAGGACAAATTATGACGCGAACCATTTGGATCCAGAGTACTGCATAATCTAAGAGTCATATATGAGATAGCACAAAAAATAGCTTCCTTCTGTTATCCCATCATGAGCCTTTTTTGCATCCAACCACACCCTATCTCCTTTCTCTAATTTAAGGATTGCACTTTGCGGCAGGTTTTCATAAGCATCCGAGGTAATCTGATCAGATGCTTTCACCTCTGTACCATTCCTTGCCAGGATCATATGTGAATTCTGGTGTCCCTCCAGGTTGTAGGTGCAATAATAGACTCCTGGGGTTTGGCAGGTGAATATGCCAGATGACTCATCAAAGACTTGCTGCTCGTTGTATAGAATATTTTGAAATCCTATGGGCTGATTAGGTGCTGGATAGCTTTTGCCCACTTTTACAGAAAATGCAGATTTTGGTGGTGCTCTTACGCCTGGTTGACCATCAGCTGCTGGCAATCCATGAGGGCATATCAATTCTGGAGTCCCTGGCAAACCTTTTTAAAAATTGAAGAGAGAGGGGGAAAACAGTTTAGCAGAAAAAGCAGTGACAAATGTCTATCGCAAATCAAAATAGCCTGCAGCTGTTTGGGTACAGACTCTTCCAACCACTCATAGGGCCCAGGCACAAAAGCAGTGTTTGAATGACAGAGTCTTCACAGGTACTCAGCTTTGGCTGTTAAAAAAGAAGTTAGCAGTGCATTGAAGTTGCCATCCAAATACTGTAGAAATAATTTCTTTCTCAGAATCTCTAGATGAGATGGGATTCCTGCTGCCCCCCAAATGTTGGACCCCCAATTGCTATCAGCCCCAGCCAGCTTGTTCAGTAGTCAGGAATGATGGAGCTGTAGTTCATCAACATCTGGTCTAAACCATCTTGGCTTTGAGTCCTGGAAGACCTGCTCTCTGCCTTGCAGGCCTTTTTCCACCTGGCCTGGGAGGGCAGGACCCTGACTGACTCCAGCTACAAAAGCAGAGACTGCTGACCAGACGCTTGATGTAATGTTTAAGGAGGGCATTGTTGTGAAGTTGGTGTTGCTGTCATTGGTGTGGGGTTTTTTTGTTGGTTTTTTGGGGGGGGTATCTTTATCTGTATTATAATGACATGTGGAAATATTTTGATTCTATTGTGTGCTTTTTGATGTGTTTTATTTATTGTTTATGACTACTTTTGCTATGTTTGTAATGGCTTATAATGAGCATGGCTTTAAATGTGGGAAGATGGCATACAGATAAAATGATGTATATAGGATTTAACGGCATTAGGTATTGCAACACTCATGCCTGATTTTTCCTCTACCAATGCACTGGAGTGAGGGGTGATTTTACAGAGGAAAAGTAGTGGGAGAATAGAGAAGGGAGAAGAAGTTGTTTGGATATTCACGTTTATCCCTCTCCTGCTGTTGTGGCACTAAGATGTTGCCAAAGGTTTTGATTTCCTGGTTTGGAATTCAAATTTGTTCAGCTTGCAATGCTTAGTTGTATTATGAATCGAGCAAAATTTCCCCACAAAGGTCTTGACCAGCTGGGAAGGTAAAACAGGGTTCTGCACCTGCATGGCCTTAGCAACAGAGCAGGTACCCCAAACCAGCTGCTCTGGAGGCTCATGCACAGAACCACACTTACTCTCCCTGAAATTCCCAATGCAAAATGTTAATGCCGTAAGCTGTTTTGAGCATGATTGATGAAGTGGGACACCAATAACTACCAATTAATACACTAATTATTGTAATTATCTCCTGCCAACCTAGCAGTTCGAAAGCACGTCAAAGTGAAAGTAGATAAATAGGTACCGCTCCGGCGGGAAGGTAAACGGCGTTTCCGTGCGCTGCTCTGGTTCATCTGAAGCGGCTTAGTCATGCTGGCCACATGACCCGGAAGCTGTACACAGGCTCCCTCGGCCAATAAAGCAAGATGAGCGTCGCAACCCCAGAGTCAGTCACGACTGGACCTAATGCTCAGGGGTCCCTTTACCTTTACCTTTAATACACTAATTTTTGGACTTTGATGGATTTATAGAGGATGTGATGAGGATTTGTACTGGGGGGAAAATAATTCTCAAGCTACATATTTAGCATTATCTTAATATTATAGAATTGTTAATTGTTAGTAAATTGTTAATGTTTAGGATATTAACCCTGTGTAAAACAAAATATGGCCCACCAGTCTCTCAGTAAACCACTTGATTTTTAGCTACTTTCCTTGAATAGCAAAAAAAGACCTCATGATTGCTGGTAGCTTGCCTTCTGTGTGGTCAGTTATATGAAATGCATTTCAGCAGGCTGAAAAATAGTTCAGATTAGTGGCTGAATCAGAACTGAACTGGAGTTTAAACATTCAGGTGTTCAGAAACCTGAACAGAACTCTGCTCCCTTACTATACTTTTTTAAAAAAACAGCAACAACACAATATTGCAGTTTCTAAAATTTGTAGCTGTTTCTTACCATGTTTTGACATTCTTTGGTTTTATATAATCATAAAAATTATACCATTTGATATAGTGAAATCTCTCCAAGTGGTGTACTAAAAAACAATTTAAAAAATACAACAATGTTCCGCAAAATTTCCTAAAAAGAATATGAAAACAAATAGCAACTGTATATTGCAAGTAAAAATTAAAATGGGATGGGAAAGGGGTGGGGTTCCAGGAAAAACGACTTTGGCAGTGGCATGCACCATTAAGCCCAATGGGCTCCCCCCCCCCCACTGCTAAAAGCTCTGCTTCCCCACTTGTCTCCCAGAATCAGAAGAGGCATGAAAAGGGAAGAGGAGAGACTGACAACATGCAAGCACAGTCTCTGATTGCTTTGGGGGGGGAATCCTGGAGAGGAGGGGACTTAGGTAGCTGTGGATAGGCAGAGACTTTCAGTCTCAGCAACAGCTTCATGGGCAAGGACCTACTGGGGATGGGTTGTGGTGCTCATTAGATCTAACATTCCGCCAAGTCTGTTCAGATTGGTCTTTTGCTAATACTTAACTCTAACTTGAACAGTGTGATTTACTGCTGGCTCACTCCTGACACCGACTCTCCTCCCAGTCCCTCTCCCTAAAACAGGTGACCAACAGGGTGACCAAAGCTGTTTCTATCTGCAATCCAGGATTAAACCCAGCACCTGCTTTGTTTATTTGGTAAACATAACCAAGAACTTGATTTCTGTCGCTTGGTTTCTGAAGTGTTCTGTCTTCCATGCAAAGTGTAGTATCATGGGCTGTCCCTTGAGCCCGCTAGATGACATCGCAAAGGATCATTGCCTTAGGAGAGCGAGAAAAATTCTCAGGGACGATTCACACCCCAGCCAGCACCTCTTTAATCTTCTACCCTTGAGCAGGAGATATAGAAGTATAATCATTCGTACCAACAGGCTAAAAAACAGTTTCTATCTGTGGGCTGTTAGGCTGCTGAATGGAAAATAATATAGTGCAACTGACTTTCGGGGTTGGTGTGTTGTGCGACAAGCACACAGAGTGCAATGAGATTGAGTGTGGGGAGGGAGGCTCGGTTAATTTCATTGTACACAGGTTGTACATTGACAATAAAGGTATTAGTAGTAGTACTAGTAGTAAAAAACTTGCTGAGAATTAAGCTAGAGATCATACCTGGTGCCCCCTGTGGTCCGGGAGCACCTATAGGACCAGGTGGACCAGGAGGACCACTGAAACCAGGAAGACCAGGAATACCAGGTGGACCAGGTGGACCACGAGGACCAGGAAAACCAGGTGGACCAGGTGGACCAGGTGGACCGGGAATACCAGAAGAATCTGCTTGAACTCCTCCAGCTCTGGCCAAAACTATGGTCAAAATCCAGACACCTGAAGCAAAAGATAAAAGAAATAAACTACCTTAGCATTTTGATAGTGTAGATAGCTAAAGAGATAGCCACATAGGCAGTCACATTTGGATTACATGAGTTTAATTTCTACTTGATTACATCACTCATGAAAGTGGGCAGAAAGATTGATAAAATCTTTAGAGTCAATTCTACTATAGCAAAGGCGAATAAATGGCTAGGTGATTATTTAGTATGTCTGAACTCTGTAGCTCTCAGAGATAGAATATTACAAACTAATTTTAAAAGAAGGCTTCGCATTGAGGAGAAAAATATAATTATCTTGAGAGAGGTCCCAGGGAGGCTGCTAAAAAAAAAAAGACAGAATTATAAATTTCCCCCTATTGGGGGAGGGCTGTGAAGGAGATCTCCAAGGAGCTTGCAGCAGCAGGCGATGCATTCCTCAGAGCACAGATTGGCTGCCCCTGTAGATCCTGACACTTGAAGCAGTCACCTCATCCAGCAGCAAACACCCATCTCAATAGTCAAGCCTTAACAATAATGCTCAGGAGGCTCAGAAAACAAAAGTGAGCTTAGCTGCCTCTTCTGCAAAGGATCGTGCATGAGGAGAATGGGACAACCTGTAGCGCATTTCAGAACCTGGAAGCATTTTAAGTGGGGCATCCTTAGATGATCTTAAAATTGGTTGGGCCAAGGTTGCGAGCCTCTTGCCCTCCAGATGTTACTGGACTACAGCTTTCACGAGGTGACTGGCCAGGCTGGCTGAGAGCTGACAGAGACGGAGTTCAACATCTGGGGTGTCTGGATGTAAGGGCAAACGTGCCACAAGACCATTCTTAGTGTGCCCTGGCCCCAAGCTTTGTGTATTCCCAGTATTGCTCTTACAAGCCCTGGATGAAATGCCAACTAATCAGCACCACTTTGCATGCTTGTCCTGATTTTGGGAAGAGAATTAAACCTATTATCAGAAATGAAAAAACCTACCTGGACAAAGGAAGCTGCAGGGTCTTGATGTTCCCAGCATCATCTTGATGTTTTTTGTGGGTTTTAAACTGATCTCAGTTCTTCTCACAATTCCTCCTTAGCACCCTCTGAGGTTTAAGTGTGTTTGAACAGCTTTGTCACATTTATAGCTTTTTGATGGGTGGCTGCAGTTTTTGTATCCAGGAAGGAATTTCCCAACATTTCTACTTCTCTAATATTTACTCTTCGTGTAAAAGACCTGAACTCCATTCTCCTCTGCTCCCAAAAGAGCAGGGGCTGGGGTGGGGACGATCACCTCAGCCTATTTCAACATCAGTTTCCTGCAAATGACACTTCAGATAGTGCAGCAGATGAGGCCTTTGAGTTATTGAAAGTTGAACTTTTACATAGTAAACAAATACGGCATGTTTATTTAATTTCTTCTGTGGAAAAATCTTCCATATGGTCATGCCAGAGTGTCAGAATAAAGTTGAAGGTCAGGGAGGAAAGGTCAGGGAGTCTTGCCAAGTTTCTATCCAAGCAAGTTCCCTTCTCTTTACCCACTATATGCAAACATTACATTTCAACACAGAGGTGGACTTGGTAGCCTTTCTGATTACATTTCTCTATCTTTTTTCAAACAACAGGAAATTCAAAATAAATTATCCTTTGGATTTTTTTTAGTTACATCACAGCAGAACATAGACAGCTGTCAGGTAATGTAGAACCGTAGGAACATAGGAAGTTGTCTTCTACTGAGTATGGATAGGAATAACATGTAAAACATTTTGGGATGCTGAGGGTTTTCTTCTGTATAAAAAAATGAAAACAATGTCACTTATAAAAATCATTCAAAAATCAGCAGATAACCGCCAAGCAGTGGAAAAAGTAATGTCGGAAGTGGCAGAAGGTGGTTCTTCCAGTGCTCTGGTCTCAAACTATCCTCAACATTGGCTTCAGAGGCATTGAAAGAAAAGCCAGGTGTCTTGCACTGGTTTTGAACTACCATGTCATTTCTTTCTTTCTTTCTTTCTTTCTTTCTTTCTTTCTTTCTTTCTTTCTTTCTTTTTTAAATAGTAAATTTTATTAGTATTTTCCACACAACAACAACAAAAAACGAAAACTAACAATACACAAAAACAAGCATATATTTTTCTGTTTTTCTGTAAATTTTAAATTCTTAATAAATATCATTTTAAAAAAACAACAAGCATATAAAAAACTAATCCAAATCTTACAAATCAATAATATAAACACTAAAAAGGAAAACAAAGATTGACTTCCACCAATCCCACAGCACCTCCTTTACCTCTCATTGTATTTTCCTGTTTTCCTGATCATCTCTATCCTAACATCTAGATATAAATCCCTCTTTCTTATCCTTTCACTTCACAAGGTTATTCCAGACTCAGCCAGATTTCTGTCCTCGAACCTTGGCTTTTAAGATATTTATTTAGGCACTTCCATTCCTTTTTCACTTCACTTTTTGGTTTTTGTCTTATTATATCTGTCAATTTGGCTAATTCTAAATATTCTGAAAGCTTACATAACCATTCTCCCCTAGTGGGTAACTGATTCCGTTTCCAATACTTAGCCACTAGGATTCTTCCTGCAGACATCGTGTATAAGAAAAATTTAGTTTTGTCTTTTGGAATATCATCATTTAAGATTCCTAAAAGGAATGCCTCTGGCCTTTTACTATATGATATTCTTAGTATTTTCTTTATTTCTTCGTGGATCATGCTCCAAAATTTCCCAATTTTGGGGCATGTCCACCACATATGGTAGAAAGTTCCTTTTTGTTTCTTACATCTCCAGCACTTATTATTATATGTATTATTCATTTTTGCCAGCCTTTCTGGCGCCAGGTACCACCTATGATGCATTTTCATATAGTTCTCTCTTCTTAGGTAACATGCTGTGAAATTTATATTTTTTTATCCATAGTCTTTCCCATTCATTATATTCAATTGAATGGCCCAGAACTTGTTCCCATTTTTTAATAGCGTCACCTTTTTCCTCCTTTTCTATTTTCCCATTTTGTAACAATTTATATATTTTTGAGAGAGTCTGTTGTTTGTTATATAAGATTTCCTTCTCCCATACCGATATTTTTTAATCAAACCCCTTAAGTTTATTATCCTTCTCAAATATTGTTTTTAATTGGAAATATTCTAACCAATGTTCTAATTAATGTCAGTCTGACATCAATACCAGGGAAGATTCTGGAGCAGATCATTAAGCAAACAGTCTGTGAGCACCTAGAAAGGAATGCTGTGATCACCAATAGTCAGCATGGATTTCTGAAAATAAGTCATGTCAGACTAACCTGATCTTGTTTTTTGACAGAATTACAAGCCTGGTAGATGAAGGGAACACAGTGGATGTAGCCTACCTTGATTTCAGCAAGGCATTCAACAAGGTGCCCCATGATATTCTTGTAAAGAAGCTGGTAAAATGCGGTCTTGACTATGCTACCACTCAGTGGATTTGTAACTGGCTGACTGACCGAACCCAAAGGGTGCTCGTCAATGGTTCCTCTTCATCCTGGAGAAGAGTGACTAGTGGGGTGCCACAGGGTTCTGGCTTGGGCCCGGTCTTATTCAACATCTTTATCAACGACTTGGATGATGGACTCAAGGGCATCCTGATCAAATTTGCAGATGACACCAAACTGGGAGGGGTGGCTAACACCCCAGAGGACAGGATCACACTTCAAAACAACCTTGACAGATTAGAGAACTGGGCCAAAACAAACAAGATGAACTTTAACAGGGAGAAATGTAAAGTATTGCACTTGGGCAAAAAAAATGAGAGGCACAAATACAAGATGGGGGACACCTGGCTTGAGAGCAGTACATGTGAAAAGGATCTAGGAGTCTTGGTTGACCACAAACTTGACATGAGCCAACAGTGTGACGCGGCAGCTAAAAAAGCCAATGCAATTCTGGGCTGCATTAATAGGAGTATAGCATCTAGATCAAGGGAAGTAATAGTGCCACTGTATTCTGCTCTGGTCAGACCTCACCTGGAGTACTGTGTCCAGTTCTGGGCACCACAGTTCAAGAAGGACACTGACAAACTGGAACGTGTCCAGAGGAGGGCAACCAAAATGGCCTAGGCCTGGAAACGATGCCTTATGAGGAACGGCTAAGGGAGCTGGGCATGTTTAGCCTGGAGAAGAGGAGGTTAAGAGGTGATATGATAGCCATGTTCAAATATGTAAAAGGATGTCATATAGAGGAGGGAGAAAGGTTGTTTTCTGCTGCTCCAGAGAAGCGGACACGGAGCAATGGATCCAAACTACAAGAAAGAAGATTCCACCTAAACATTAGGGAGAACTTCCTGACAGTAAGAGCTGTTCGACAGTGGAATTTGCTGCCAAGGAGTGTGGTGGAGTCTCCTTCTTTGGAGGTCTTTAAGCAGAGGCTTGACAACCATATGTCAGGAGTGCTCTGATGGTGTTTCCTGCTTGGCAGGGGGTTGGACTCGATGGCCCTTGTGGTCTATTCCAACTCTATGATTCTATGATTCTAACCAATTCACCCCCCTCTCTTTTAATTCTTCAAACTTCTTTACTGTTGGGCAATCCTTTATCTCTTTTACGAGTTCCCTATATGTTAGCCAACTGTCTTTCGTATTATTCTATGCATGGCTGATGACTCTATAGGCAATAGCCACCAGGGAGTTTTAACTGTTACTATTGTTTTATTTCTTTCCCCAACTTTGAATAGGGCCTTTCTCACCAAATGATTAGTAAAGCCTCTGTGTGCTTTTATTTTATCATGACCCAGGTAGCCATGCCACCCGAAAACTTTGTCCTAGCCCTCCAGGTCTAGGATTTCCGTATCTGTCAGTAACATCCAATCTTTCAGCCACGTCATGCATGCAGCCTCAAAATACAGCTTGTGGTCCGGGACCGCGAACCCGCCCCTTTCTCTGGGCTCCATCAATACTTTGAACCTTACTCTTGGCTTCTTACCCTACCAGATAAAGTTAGAAAGATCCCTTTGCCAGCCTTTAAAACATTTTGTCCCAATAATTATTAGGATCTTCTGGAAAAGAAAGAGCATTTTGGGGAGAATTGACATTTTTATCAAGGATATCCTACCCCATAAAGACAAGCTCAATTTATTCCATTTATTTAAATATCCTTTTATTTCCTTCCACTTCTTCACATAATTATCCTTGTACAAATTGGTATTTTTATTTGTAATGCAGATCCCCAAATAGCTTTCGTGGTGATTTTAAGGCCTGTTACCTTCCAATTCTTCCTGTTCTTTTACCCCCATATCTTTCGTTAATAATTTAGATTTTTCTTTATTTAACTCGAAGCCCGATACTCCGCCGTACTCAGTCAATTTCTTTAAGGCTTCTTGTACACTTTCTTCTGGATTTTCTGTAATAATTCCAGTAATAATTACATCGTCCGCAAATGCTTTAACTTTATATTGTCTATTACCTAGACCAATCCCCTTAATTTTTGGGTCTTTTCTTATTGCTATTAGGAGTGTTTCCAGCATCACAATGAACAAAAGTGGGGATAGAGGACATCCTTGTCTGGTGCCCCTTTCAAAGAGCAGGGGCTGGGATGGGGACGATCACCTCAGCCTATTTCAACATCAGTTTCCTGCAAATGACACTTCAGGTAGTGGAGCAGATGAGGCCCTTGAGTTATTGAAAGTTGAACTTTTAGATAGTAAATAAATATGGCATGTTTATTTAATTTCCTCTGTGGAAAAATCTTCCAGATGGTCATGCCAGAGTGTCAGAATAAAGTTGAAGGTCAGACAGGAAAGTAAGCAAGTCTTGCACTGGTTTTGAACTATCATGTCATTTCTATAGAATTTAATTCTATAGAATTAAACCCATTCTCAGAAAGAAAAACTAACCTGGATGAAAGAAGCTGTGAGACTGGCATGTTCCCAGCATCATCTCATGTGCGGCCACAGAGTTAGCCTGTGGTAAATCACACAGATCAAAGTTGGAATTAACCCTTTATTGGCAAAAGAAACCCACTATCTTCACAGACTTGGCAGAGTTCCAGGCCTAATGGAGCACAGAAGCTCACTCCCTGTAGGTCCATGAAATCAGTTGCGGAGACTAAAGGTCCCTGTCTCCTCCCAGCCATCTATGTCTGCTCCTCTTCATGGCTTTTTCTAAACAATCAGAGACTGCACCTGTGTACCTCTCTTTGCTCCTCCAGTTTCATACTTCTTTTGACTCTGGGTTTCAGTAGGGAGGGGAGCTTTTTGCAGTTGG